ATATGATATATTGTTACATTAGAGTGCCCTGTATATCTTTTTAAATCTCGTTTTTGCTATTTTGGAGGGTATGCTCTCCATCACAGTCTGTGAATTGGTCTGTATCAATGCGCCCAAGTGACTTGTAAGTCTATAGTATCTTTGCTTTGAAAGTATTATTTGCAGTTCTGTTGACGTTGAATTATCACACATATATTATGACTTTGCGTGCAATCCATGTACTAGCTTTGTAAATTTTAATATCATTTACCCTGAAGGATAGCATGGTCACTATACTCTTTCTAAGCAAAACATGTACCAATTATGAGGTTGTTCTCTGTGACGTTTCTGCACGAGCACTGTAGTACTTTATATTTTGCGCACTCGAGTATCTGCACTTTGCTTTCTGAATGTTAGTTTATATTATGTTTTATCGACTCGTCCTTTCTGTTATATCCATATACGGGTTATGTGGTGTAGTCTGTTTTGTGCTCTGAGTTACTGTACTGCACATATTTTCTGAGGTCTATACATGTCATAGTTCTATGGACTCGTATTTCATCTGGCTTCCGTACACGAGGGCGGATTTGTTTTATGCTTTGTGCATGAAATATTCACTTTGTATATCCAGCAATACACGTCCTGAACGTTATATCTTGGCATACTCCTATCGACTGACTTCGTTCTTGTGGTTTTCATACGCAAGCAGTGATGTGTTTTCTATCGGGTGCTCTGAGCATCTACATTGGATGCTCAGGTATATACGTGTTGAAATCAAGGCATATCATATTCTATGGACTCATATTTTGTGTGACCAAGCACGATCACCGCAGTGTTTTTCATTTGTGATATGAATATCTGCACTGGATGCTCAGGTGTGGACGTATCAAAAAGCACTACAGTGATCGTTTTGGTCACACAGAACACGGGACGTATTGAAATCAAAGCATAACTTGTTTCTATAGACCGTTTTCTTGTGAAGCGCTCAAGCACGAACACTGATTTTCAGTTTTGTGCTCTGGGTATCTGCACTGCATGCTCAACCATATACTCTCTAAATGTCAAAAAGTACCATATCTTTGTCGAGTTGCTCTGTGTGTGTGACCTTTGTACACGGGGTATGTAGTGGTTGAGATCATATAATCTCAAAAACTGCGCGAGGGTTCAACATTGCAGTTCCCATTTCTTAAAATTGCCCGTCTCATTGCTTAACAATGCTATTCAATTTCTTAACCTTGCTGCTCTTTTGCTATAGGACTGCTATTCTCATTCATTAACTTGTTGTTGTCAATTTTCACACTACAGGGTAATTTTGGTTGAGAAATGCAGCCCTAAAAGGAGAGCCGAGGTGCACGTGTACAACTCTTATTTCTACTCGAAGCTGACTTCCGCACCCCCTATGGAAAGTTTTTACAACCTGTAAGTCCCGTATTTATGCAAGAATATATCAGCTGGTATATACGTATCATTACAAGCTTTTATATATATATATTATTAAATTATTAAATTTTTATATTATTATATTATTATATTATAATATTATATTATTATATTATAGTATTATTATATTATTATATTATTATATTTTGATATTATATATATGCATATTATATATATGCATATAATATATATGCATATGTTGCCATGTACTCGTGCACCTCGGATATAGTTCCTATGTTATTTGGGATGTCTTGAGTTTGAGATTGAAACACTAGACCCCCTCATCATTCTAAAATCAGTATCGATTGCCCCTAATGTAGCAATTCAATTATACTTTACGACACGATATCATTTGTGAAGTATTTGCTGTCGATATTGACTTGCTATACTGCCGCGATACAGTTATGAAAAATATTATGCGGTTTGAGGTTCTTGTGTCTATTGTTGGATTAAGACATAGCTGTTAAGGCTCACAGTTGAGATTAGCTGGAGACTTCAACTTTGTAAGGGAAAATCAAGTAAGATTTCATTATATCGTCTATAATTGTGTAGCTATATCGTGTATATTTGTACACTGATAATAAATACTTCATTGCCAATAATTGGTATTTATTCTCTCTACTACAGCGACACTGAGGGAAAGTATGATGCCATGTACAACAGGGTGGAACGATGGACTAGAAAGGTCGATATTTTCTCAAAGAAGCTGTTGTTTATTCCCATCAATCAACAGTAAGTTAAACGATTTCCATGTTATATGTGTACTTGCATACCCGTATATATAAAAAAACATTGATATCACAAATGTTGTAGTTTCCTTGTCCAAGCATGTGCACTCCATTTACATTGTTAAGGTCAATCGAAGGCAGTGGTTGCAAATATCGTACTTCAAATTCAGTAAAGTAACTTCTTTATTTTCACTCGAAGCCCATTTATATCTTGCCATATTGTTCGAGTCTGTACTATGTCCTGGTCATACAGACCCTTGAAGTCGAAGATGAACCACGCGGTATTGATGACAGTGGTTAGTAACTCTGGCCCACAGACACTTGATTCCTATAGCATATGATAGGCCATAGGCAACTATGAGTATCCTTTTATTGGCAGCTTGATCTCATGTAATAATAATTTGGTTTATACAGCGCCCATTGGTACCTCATTATTGTGTTCATGCCGCGCCAGTACCACGCCAAGCCACTCTCCAAAGATGAAGTGAAAGAAAATTCTAAAGACAAGGATCAACAAGATGGTACTGAGGACAGTGCAAAAAGTGATGTGCAAAACTCGAAACAGAGCAAAGGCAAAGTAAAGCTGGAAGGGCCGGATTCCGACGATTCGGAGGCGGAACAAGAGGAGTTTGAACCTGGGTGTGTATAATGCGAAGCGCAATGCTTAATTATATTATACATTTATATATATATATATATATATATATATACATGTATGTATGTATATATTATGTGGACACTGTTTGTTTTGTTTTGTTTTTGGCAGAAACCATCGTACGCATAAGTTTCTATAACACTGTGCTACGACCAACGTACAAGTTTCGTGTTTGGCTTTTATTGTGTAATAGGCTGAGTGTATCTTTCAAACCCCATACAGGGGCTCTAATATGTCTTTGTGCTTCTCTTGTATCGGGTTTTGCTTTGTGTGACACTGAAGTGCGCATATTATTCACTTGTTTTTGCTTCAGTTGTAAGGATATATATAGTTGTCGTTGCCGATGTATGAATGCATGAGTGCCCATATTTACTTTCATTGTGTACGTATGTCTGAGGAGTATACTTGTATACTTGTACACTCACATCCATAACTATACTCATTCGCCACTATACACAACTGCATGCATACGCGAGGTTAGCCTTATTTGCGTACACATACATTGTTTTCTATATTCATGTACCATCACACATAGACGAACAATTTTGCTCTCATAAAAGAATTCGTAACCTGTATAAGTGGCAAACACTAATACATCATTTCACATTCGACTACGAGCAGAGAGAGAGGATTGATTGTTATTATGGACTCCCTCATTCCAGACAGGAGGCCTAAAGTGGCTGCTCATATCAGAGAGTAAGTTCTATACGATGTAACACCAATTTCTTGAATTTTGGTTGGTCTATTTGACCGTGCTCTGATCTCATTGGTTCGGTTTAACCGGTTGTTCACGAATGTTTGGTCATTCCACCCATTATGTACAGATACCTCACTCGAGAATGGAACCGTAAACGTCTACCCAAAGGCGAGCCACCTATCAATTTCACCAACCGAGATTTTAAGGCTACGTACGCTCATGTAAGTTAACAGAGTGTGTTTAAACAAATGTGTATTAATATATATATATATATATATATG